TAAAGCGGTCAAGGGTTTAGAAAGGTTGTTTCTCTAAGGGACTTCATGCAAAGGAACTGTATGCATTAAGGATTTAGAGTCTATAGGGTGTAAAGCTTCGCTCGACTTCCCAGCTGATGATCAGAGCCTGGGTTCAAAAAAGGGTGTAAAGCTTCGTAAGGGTAATCTGAGGGTTGTAGAAACATATATGCAACTTTGGTACTTTCGCCAGGTATCTCGCAATGCTGCAGCTGCAGCAACTGCTGCCATGGAAGGAGCTTCGTGTTGCAAGCCCTTCGCGGGAATGCAGGGGCGAAACGAGATGTTGCGAGTCCGGTGCTCCGCGCGACTATAACTTCAGGGATTTCGAACAGCTATCAGCTAAATGGTATCGGTTTCAAAAGTTCCGGGAATTGAAGAGAACTGCATGGACCTAGTTCCCCTGTCTCTCTCCCGGCAACTTCCCCGTGCAATATTCGAAAGCAGCACATGTGCCAATCTAGCCGAACCCTCTGACACATCCTTGGAGGAGGTGGTGACTTTGGAGAGGCACTGCGCATGGATGAGCTCTACAAAGCCGTGGCCTTGAGGTGGAAAGGCTAAAGGAAGAAGAGATGGACGTCCTCCTTCGCACGCCCTGAGCCTTCGGACTGCCATCAAGAAGGTCCTGAGTCGGTCCCTGTGGCTCTCCTACGTTCTGGCAAGAAGAGACACCAAGCCCCTCTGCGATGCCAATGCAGATGGCCAGATGCGGCGTCTGCAGCATGCAGCATTGCATGAAGACGTACACTGTGTGCGGGAAGTCTTGATTGAACCAAAAACACTACAGACCCTGCTGGTGGATTGCAGTGACGTGGGCGTCTGGAAGGTGCTGTATGATCTTTTCCCGTGCTCTGGCGGACGAGACGTGTCTTGCGCAAGGCTGTAGAACACCTTCAGCAGCCGCCCTAAAGGAGGCTAGAAGACTGAGAACTCAGTCAGCAGGTAGAACCTCTAGGTCTGTGTCTGCATAGGGTTCGTTAAAGAGAATCGTGCGATTTAGGTGGAACTGCTCGAAACTGAAGAAGGGGCACTCTATAATGTCAGACTTAGCCAGCACAATGCTTCTTCGAGTAGCCTGGCTTTTCACGGGATCGTTGCGTTGTCCATGAATGCCTTCAACACCACACCATAATATGCTGTAAGATATTATAGCATACTTATAATTATTAATACCGTCGGAATCATTACGGATAGCTTCGCGAGTGTTCGGGGTTATGATGTCTCATGATAACCAGATTTGGTGCGGCCTGGAGATGCCCTCCTGGCATGTTTATTCCCTCCATGGGCTTCTGCTGAAAGCACCCACAATGCTGTAAACTGTGCTTTTTTCAAGAATATGAGCCTTAAAAGCTCATCGTACATCCTGTGTGGTGGTCGCGATGTGGGTATGGAAGCAACACTGCCCCTAAACCCTAAACCGCCTAAACCCTAAACTTAAAGTCATTCTCATTGTCATCTCACCTTCATGCAGAAGACGCGGCCCTAGCGGTTCGGTAAAAAAATCCGCTGCAGTCCAAGCCATGGCGTGAAGGGTCCAGTCATAGGCTCCATAGTAGTTCCTTTTTGGGGTTAATATTTAGAATCCTATAAGGTAATCCCAAAAAGGAACTACTATGGGGCCTATGGGTAGTCTAGTAAAATCCGAGTTCGGTTTCGGGGCGTCATCCTTGAGCCGAGAATCTGCATGCTGCAGCTTCGATATTTAGCAGGACACCTGTTTTATACTCCCTGTCGACATCGACAGTATATAGAACCTTGAAAAGCATCCCGTTCAACACTCCTCAAGCCAAAGCACTTCAATGAACTTGTGCTACCTTGCAAGCATCCAAGGACACATGGCGAAGGGCCCGTCAAGCTACAGGGTAGCAGTGTTGGACTCGTCATGAGTGCTTTGATACTGCAGGGCTTTGGGTTTCAGGGCCTAGTGCATTGCAGCCCCTTCTCCAAAAAGGGTTTTCTCCGTTGCTATCAGGTTTGTTTGGTCAAAGGATGCTACGACCCGAAAACCCTAAAGCTTAGGCCCTACCTAGACCCCAATAAACCTACTTCTTCAAAAGGATATCATAATAAGGAACCCTAAAAAGGTAGGTTCTTAATTAAGGGTCCAGGTAAACCCTACAGTCATTCCTCCGTACATCTGATCTCTTTGACTGATCGGCCGACGGGAGGACAAGAAGGCAGAGCCCCTTCAAACCCTAAACGGTCCTAAAAAAGGGGCCTAGATACTTACCAATACTATGTTGGGGGTTTGAAAAGTAGAATTAATAGTATAATGGGCCCCCAAGCCCTATTCTAAGTATTAAGGCCCCAAAAACTAAACCATCCTAAACACCTAAGCCCGAAACCGTTGCCACTTGGGCTTCCAGCTGCGAGGTCGGACGAGTCGTAGAGAGTAGGTGGATACATCGCAAAGCAGCTAACATGGGTGTTCAGAGCAGCTGACAAATCCACTGCTCAGGTTGCTTTAGGGTTTAGGGTTTGAGGGCATAGAGTTTGACTGCCAGAGGGCCGAAGCGTAGAGTTTAGAAGCAGGAATACCCAAAAAGCAAAGCAAAGCCCTTCCCGAGGCCAATGATGAAAGAAAGCCTTCCAAGCACGAAGCTTGAGGTTTAGGACCCGGTTTCCCCCAGAAAGCTGCAATGCTCTTCGTGGCAAGGCGCATCTCTCTGAATCATAGCTTCAGCGGTTTTCGGACTTGGGCGGTACACAGCCGATCAGCTTTGCCATCGCGGGCGAGAGAAAGTTTTGAATCCCATCATCCTGACCACTTTTGTTGAATTGACAGTGTTACATATATCCCTAAACCCTAAACCCTAAACCCTAAACCCTTATAAGTGCTACGTCTTATGCTAATCGCACGGTGGTTCCTAGCGGAAGTCCTTTGGTCTGAACGAGTCATTCAAAAAGATTCTTAGCGTTGGAGTTCCGTGGGCCGGTTGTGGGTGCCGCAGAGACCTTGGAGCTTGTTCTCAGAGCCGTTGTTGGTACTCCATGCATCAGGCGTCGTGGTTTTATCGTCTTGCGTTCCCTGGCTCCTGCCGCTGTAGACTGTAAGTCCACAGAACTGCCTGCATCAATCGTCTTCAATGTCATATAGGTCCTAGACAGACGAAGGTGCACCACAACAAGGTGGCCTGTTTGAGCGTCTAGAGTGCCAGCAAGAACAACGGCCGCGACCGAAACCAACACCTCCATTAGCTCATGCTCGATGAGCCTGCCTGATTAATGCGCCCTGTGTCCAACGCACAGAACTGCCAAAACCAGACGCGACGTTCCGAAGCTCTCGTTGCTCTGATCGCGAGGTTTCCTTGACAGCAATGGCTGGGGTAGGTCCGATCGATGGCGGCAAGGCCATTGCCAAGGCAATTGTTGCGTGTTTGCAAGCGATACTTGTTCTTTGAGATTGGCGGGTCGCCAGGGAATCGGCTACGCGTGACGCTAGACACAAACCCTGAATGCAACAAAAAGCCTGAAACTTACTGTAGGAGCCTTATGTGGGGTAGGATATTTTGGGTTTTACGGATTCGGGCTCAAAGCTAAGTAGACCTAAATGCTAAACTTGCAATCTGTGAGCAGACTGAGGGCATCGGGGCTAGTTTGGTTTGGGGTTGAGGATGCAACGTGTGCTGTAGTGGGCTTTCGCAGATGGATAAGGATTTGATAAATAGCCGTAGCCTTACAGCAGAGCCTCCCTGATCAGTAGGGCACTTTCGGCTATGATCCCTGAAGTTTTCAGCCTGATCCTCGCTGACAGCCATGGGACGAACAAATCGTCAAACCCGAAAATGTGAGCCTCTGAGGCATCCATGCCGCCAGGTCGCAAACAACAAGATCCCAACATAGAATAATAGAGGTTGGAAGCATCCGAAGCACAAAGCCCTTGAATATTATAGTACCAATAAGTGGAAACCCTAAACCCTAAACCCTAAACCCTAAACCCATTCTGATGAAGGAGGCCCAGGTATTGCACAGACGCCTCGTCCCCAGACAAGCCTCTAAGCTCTAGAGCTCCAAGGCCTAGACACGGATTCACACTTAGGTGTACATCTGTATATGTATGTATGTATGTATGGATGTATGTATGTATGTATGTATATATATATATATAAATATGTATATGTGTGTATTTACATACGTACATACATGCATACCTACTTACCTGCCTGCCTGCCTACCTACCTACATACATATACATATACACATGCAGTACATACAATGCATGCAGACGCACCGCCGATAGGCCAGGGCTGGCACTCCACCCACCGGAGGCGCAGCATCGCAACTGCAGGCTGGCTTCTGGATTCTCCCTGCTCTTCCGCACTTTCAGGGCTTTATGTTTGTAGCTCGAAGCCCTAAACCCTAAACCCCTAAACCCCTAAACCCCTTAGGGTTTAGGGATTTACGGTTTAGGGTTTAGGACTTTTTATACAAAGAGATCTTGCAGGGTAGGGCGTCGGGCCTGGGGGCTCCCATAGAAGTGTTCCAGCTCAGATCGCTCTAAGAAGCCTAAGCCCGAAAACCTCGGGGGGTTTAGGGTTTAGGGTTTAGGGTTTAGGGTTTAAGTACCCTAAGTCCTAAACCCCAAAGCCCTAAATGGGACAACCGGCAGACCCCGTCTCCACCAACAATGAATAGGATCCTCAATAAAAGGAGCCTTAATATTACTAAGAACCAATGAAAACACAGTAGAAAAGGCTAAACTTTAGGCTAAACAATGAAAGATCACACGTTCAAATCAAGCTGTGGAAAACAATTATAAAGCCCTGGTGTAATCCTCCAGTTCGGCCCACCATCAAAACCTTTCCCACCACGCACTTCCCAAACCCGAGGCGGGCGATTCCTAGTAGATAGAACCCGCATCGTACGCTCAACTATTGTACTCCTCTAAGAGGTGCCCTTATAGCAATCAGACTTGACAGAATGGCCATGGCAGATGCAGGGAATCATTTAGTTGCCGGAAATCTGGCAATAGCCACAACATGAGCACATCATTAGCAAGCATAAGAACAAGACCAAAACCCACCGCGGCCCTGCAACAAAAAAACGGGTTTAGGGGTTTAAGAGACCCAGCTCTGCATTTCAAGACTTCAGGCCCAAGCCCGCGGCAGGTCATCTACTTGAACTTCCTCACTCTCGAGTCAAAACCTTTTGAACATCCGGCCGACACACCAAAAGAGCGACTTGTCCGATCTTGGCACATTTCTGGAATTTTGGGCTTGGGGCTTGCTTGAATTGGGGGGCCTCATTATACAAGCACTTTGCGTACCATCGCTACTTCGAGCAGCGCCCAAACTCTCGCTAGCATGCGCCAGTGATGCCGCGAGTGGTTTCACTGAAACCCGGGACTACGTTCTGTGACTGCTTGGCCTCAACTAGGAACTAGTAACCAGTTTGTTGGTCGCGGCTCTCGTGCACACTTTGATGATGGCATCTCGAGGCTTCTGAGATTGTTCGAGCGATCCTTTGTATCAACCCTGCATGTCAAGTCCGAAGGCACCATGCGCTGGGCTTCCGCGCTCTCAAAAACATGGACGATCGTCATGTGATGGGCCAAGCTGATCCCGGGAAGGAGTCTTTCAGTGATGATAGCTGAAGCAAGCAAATCCCAGCTGTACTGCCAGTGCACATCATACGTGTCATCCTGAGCATCATAGGGAGTAAGGGTCGGGTTGTCATTCTACACCTCGAAGCTCCACCGGCGCATTCTGCTGGTCGGTGGAGGGTCGAAGAACGCTATAGGAGGCGATGTTGCACGATTCGCGAACAAGCCTAGAAACACAAAAAACCTCAAATCCGACACCCTACGACTGTTTTCTTTCACGAGCTCTTGTCTCTCACTTAACCATCGACCCGGCTCTCGACTTTTTCTTTCGTGGGCAGGAAGTCGGGGTGGCTGGAGCCTTGCACCCTTGATCCACTGCGACCTCCAAACAGCTGCTATAGAGGTCTGCACGAGAAGTCATAGTATCCACACGAAGCGCCCCATACAATGATAACTCTAAACCCTAAACCCTATATGCTACAGAGCCCAATTTTCCTTCTTAAGCCCGCAATAGTACCGACTTTATAAGCTGGCACTATTCCACCCACCATAGCGCAATTCACTGCTGCTTTCGAGACCCTCGCAACAGTGCTCAAAGCAAAGGAAGCGCCCTTGAGCAGTAGCTGGGTAGTGATCAAGTCTCAGTTGATGTCACGAGCAAGCGTATTTAACCCTAACCTCTAAAAGGTTGAACCCGAAAACCCACACACATAGAGAAATTCTGTCACGTGGAGAGTCCACGTTCTTGTTTTCAAAGACGATGATCTGTCCGAGCGGGGCTCTTGATTGCGATTTGGATTTCAGTCTGCTTGCCAATGTAGTTTTTAGGTTCACAGGTTTATTAGTGGTTTACTCCATACTCCTGTCCCTGCCCTATCAAAGTTTCCTGACAAGAACCCAGCTTTAGAGCATGCCTTGAGGGACTGATGGCTCAATCGAGAAGCCAGAGCCAAGAACTAGGATGCACAAATTTTCGAAGCCTGAATACATACCCATAGCTAGGCCCCGCGATAAAAACAAAAAACAAAAAAAACGATCCAATGGAAGTGAATGCCCTTCCGCAGTCAGGATTCTCGGGGGTTCCTTCCTTCAAGATGGGGTGCACCGAGTTATTGACAGGGGGTGGAACCAAAAGTCTTTGATCCTTCGGGTAGGCTACCTAAATGGGGTTCTGGGGTCTCTCACAACCTTGAAGCCGGCGCCCAGACGGCTTACGTCTTCTCCAATGACCATCCTCTTGCGAGAGGGGCTGCTGGACGGCTGACGGATGCAGCCGGGGCTGAATTATAAATCCGGCGGTGGCTTGTTTACTCTGCCAACGCTTCGCAGCTCTTTGACATCTGGACTTTGGTTTTGTGCTTGCTTTGGGAAGCCCTGACAACTCAAACATTCGGGCAAGTCTAGTCAAGGCTCGCGTTCGGGCTACGGTTTCGGGCCGGTGAAATGCAGCTACTAGTGCCGGTGCTGGTACCGCTGCCACTGTTCTTGCTCTTGTGCCGCAGTGCTACATTTCTGTTGCTATGACTGTTATGACGACCACTTAAAACAGGATCGCAAACCTGGATGCTGACCTGGCTCGAAACTGAGGCTATCATCCCGAAGCTTCTGAAGCTTGGTGTCACCGCTCATGTTGAGACTCTTTGCCAACTTGGCACCTTCATCGCTTTGCCTGGCGCCCGGATTCCTAAAAAAGTTCTACTGGGGACATGAAATTGACAATGGCACCCACAGCGTAGCACTAGGCAGTTTCCTTTCTGACTGTATGCAAGTATGACCATGTATGTACATGTACATATATATATATGTCATACACACCAAAAGGTACCAACAATATGTACTCTTCTGTATGTACGTATGTATGTATGCATGTATGCACGTACGTACGCATGTATGTATGTGTGTATGTACATATGTACGTACGCACGTATGCATGTATGTTGTATGTATGTATGTTGTATGTATGTATGTATGTATGTATGTATGTACGTATGTATGCATGCATGCATGCATGCATGCATGCATGCATGCATGCATGTAAATGTATGTATGTATGTATCATATGTATCATATACAAAGTCATGCGGAGCTTTTGTTAAGCAACACATTTCGGCTGTCACGCCTTGTCACCTGCAAAAACCCATGTTGTTGGTCAAATAGTGGTCCCTGCCCGCTGACGAAAGACGGCTCGCGACAAGCAGTAGCCGAAACTCTAAGCACTCAGCCGTAGAACTGTGGCGGTCCGTACTTTGCAGCTTCAGCTCTTACATTTGTTCTGACGATGATCATTGCAATATATTCAGGGTCGGAACAATGAGTATTCGTGCCACCCTGTAGCCCCTAATATTGGACTCTACCCAAAACTCTGGTTCCAATTGTCCAGTTTTGTCGGCGGGCCTGGATGTGAGTGCGGCTATTGGTTTTCAATGTCTGTATCGTTGGGCTAAAGTTGCTGCTATGGATGGTTGTGGTATAGAGCATCATACGGATCCTTGAACAATTAACTTCAGAAGCCCTTCGCTCTTCTTCAAGGGTACTGTGTTTTTGGACATGGCTGGTCCATATGAGTTGCGCAATCCATCCGACGCAACTTCCAGAAAGGAGAGTCACTATACTGCACGCCAACGAGACCAGGCTAAACTCGCACAGGTGCCCCCCGGCCAGTTTTCTGTGTCAGACTCAGGGCTTCAGTTGATGGGTTTTGGCATCATCTCTCTGCACGACCGAAAAACCCTAAACCATGTGAAAGGCGGTTTGCTCCATTTTGGAATCCCGCTTCGGGCCTCCGGGTTAATTAAAAGCCCAGTTCAGAGGCTTCCCATAGTGATAAGCAGGAGGAGGCTTGCGTTTTTTGCAGTGATGCAGCACCCTTTGCTTTCGGGTTCGGCTAAGAGGACTTGTGCAACAGGAAGTCCCTGATCATGAGGCTCTATAGGTTTACAGGGTTTAGGGTTCAAAGTGTCCTAGGTACTGTTACAGGGGGAGACTCTCCCAAACCATAATGGTTCCTAATAGAGAAACCCTACATGCTACTATAAGCCCTAAGCCCTGAACCTTAAACCCTAACCCCTAAAACCAGTGTCGCTCTAGACCTTGCCAGGCTTGTCCCAGTGTGAATGTCAAACAACCCTAGATCCCCCTTTGGCCACTTTGGGTTTAGTGCATAGGACCTTTTGGGTCAACACCTGTCTGCCAGGTTGATCACCGTCTTCGACCTCCTCCACTCTTGCGCCGGGTGCGACTTCGAGCAAACCGATGCTTCGCAGAGCTTTCAGCGTTTTTTTTGGCTTTACAATTCTGGGGGTTTAAGCGATAGGGGAATGAGAACGTTTTTTTGGGGTGGTTTAGGCTTAGTAGATCGTTGACGGTCCAGACAGGGTTAAGGTCCGTAGGGTTGTGTAAACCCCAAAACCCTAAAGGCTTCAGGCAGCCCGCTCTTCCGGTACCTTATCAGATGCTATGCGGTGTTTGTTGGGGCTTATGTGGAGTACGGTTCATGTTATGGGTTTAGCATGAGCTTCTGGATAGATAGGTAGATAGATAGATATGATAGATAGACATAGATAGACATGATAGATAGATATGATAGATAGACATGATAGATAGATATGATAGATAGATATGACAGATAGATATGATAGATAGATATGATAGATAAATAGTTAGATTGATAGATAGATTGATCGATTAGATAGATAGATAGATACATAGAGAGGTCTGTTGCTGACAATCTTATCGGTGAGGGTGTACTTGGGGTGTTAGTCTTATGAGGCATTAATATACGACATATACGACCTGAATTAGGAGCCTTCGCAAACTGTTCGAACGGTACGGGGGCGTGATGGATGTTGTCGTGCGCAGGCTTCTTGGGTTCGCAGTCACGACAGCTGAACCTCCACGTGTGAGTTTCCGAAAATAAGGGGTACCTTATTTTGGGGTCCTTATCATAAGGATCCTATTATTTAGGGTGCTATATTAGGGTCCCCTATTTCGGAAACCCCCATGTGCGCAGACCGAGACCTTGAGGCGATTGCACGAGTCTGAACGAATCTATCACAAGGCACCAGAGCGTAAGCTTTTGGTCCTAACTTCTTGGCGCACTTCAAGAGAATGTTCTTGTTTGGGGTCAAGCTGACATCATTGCTTGGTCCTCTTGGTTCTATGGCCTGCGCAAGACAACCTGCAGCTTCCGAACACAGATCGTGAAGAGTCGATTTTGCAGGCTCTCTTTAATCGTAAACTTTGCCCACGCCTCCAAGCCGAAAGGCTCGAATCCACAAAAGCGGGCTCGCCCCAGGATGTTCTCCAAACTCTTGTGCCCCTCATCTCCGACAAGCTTCCGGAGCTCTTGGAAGAAGAGGGGATGTGACCTGGCAGCAGGGGCAGCTTTTCACGAGTTTGTGGGGCTCGGCAGCTGATTTGTTGAAGTTGGGTTTGCACCGGAGCATATTTCCGGAGCTTCCCGTGGCCGCCGTCCCATGAGGATGGTGGAGCTACTCGTTGTGCAAACGAAGGAAGAGGACCCTTCCCCTTTTCTCTAAACTCTCGACCGATTCTAGAGTTTCGCTTCGTCCTAAGCACCATCAGTTAAAACACACACACACACACACACACACACACACTAATTTCACTAAATCCTCATCGCGCTTGAGTTTTGATCCTGAGCAGTGTAAACTCTTGGAAGTCCGCTTGGGCGAACAAGCTGCCGGCACTCGTTCTGGGGTGTGATGCTGAGGATCCAATTTTTGTTTGAACATCGTATGTAAGACCTAAACCCTAAAACCCTGCTAAGTGGGAGGGAGAAAACCCTAAACCCCCTAAAGACTGTGGCGTTTTCTCTACTTTCCTGAAAGGGTCCTGTAGAGGTTCCTATTCGGAAATAGTTTGGGCAGCCCGACAATTTCAAGCCCGTGAGGTGCAAACACTACTAAACCATGGAACCTTGAATCATTAGTCCTACTATTTTTTAGGGCTCCGTATCATGTGTATGCCGTGACATAACCCCCTCAAAAGCTGTTCCACTTATTAGGGCCATTATATTCCTCGGGATCTTCGGGGTTTCAGCTTTTCAAGCTGAAACCCCGAAACCCTAAATATTAGAGGAGCGCAGGACGCGTTCGGAACATACCATTCCCTACCAGCCCAGACTATACAGTATACCGGGCTACGGGTATTACAAGGTCTGTAGAGTTTAAGAAACAGCGCCCACGCAGCAACTGGACCTCTAGTGCTTCCTTCCCAGCCCCTTTTCAGCTCGAGTTCGCCCACAGCCTTGTTCTCACGAATATCGAAGTACCAATGCAGTAGAGATTTGAACTTCATCGGTACATAAACCCATTGGGAGCCTGTGGGAATGTAGGCATAGCTTCGTTCCTCTACTCTTTACTCCGGTGTGCTGCTACAGATAAAAGATCTCCTGTGCATACCTTCCTTCTCGTTGCCACACGGGTGACGGTCTCAGCTCAGGGTGTAATTAGGTTTCATAGTTTATAGGGTGCAGGGTGGAGGATTCAGGATTCAGGGCTTCTGGAAGCCCCGAACTCTCCATCTCTTCATGCCGAAGCCTTCCCGGAAGGAGATGGAGTACATCAATAAGATGAGGAGCCATCTGGGACACCCGGTGGGGCAAGCGCGCGCCTCGAATCAACGAGTGCGAAGCTTACCAGGCTAGTGGGGCGATGTTCCAGCTTCTCTAAGGTAGAACCCATGGGCCCCTAACATGGGCCCTTAGGGGATTCTATGGTCCCTTCAGGGTACATATAGGGTATATAGTAGGTTTATTAGGGTCCCAGGGTTAAGGGCCCATACTAGGGGCCCATGGGTTCTACCTTAGACCAAACGATGAGATTTATACTACCCTATAACCCTACGGCTCACATAAACATATTACACTACGGTGTTCTAGCCTTTAAGCGCT